TATAGGATAAGTTAAAAAGAGATTGCTTCTGTCTTCTGGAAGAGATTGCAGAGAATTGGTGTAATTTCTTCCTTAAATGTTTGGTAGAATTCCCCAGTGAACCCATCTGGGCCCAGTGATTTCTGTTTTGAAAGGTTGTTAATTATTGATTCAATTTATTTAATAGAAACAGGCTTGTTTAGATTGTCTATTTCTTATGTGAGTTTTGGCAGGTTTTATCTAAGAAAACAGTGTACATACCTTAATTTAAAAATACTTTACGGGCCGGGCGCGGTGGCTCAAGCCTGTAATCCCAGCACTTTGGGAGGCCGAGACGGGGACCTTAACTTTCACACCGGTTAATTTAAACAATAATTTTTACGGGCAAACGGCGCGGTGGCTCAAGCACTGTAATCCCAGCACTGTTGAGGCCGAGGGGCGCCGATCTCAACAGGTCCCAGGACGATCAAACCACACCGTTAACACGGTGAAACCCCGTCTCTACTTAAAAAATACAAACAAACTACGCCTGGCGAGGGTGGCGGCACCGTAAGTCCCAGGCTACTTGGAGCTGAGGCAGGAGAACTGGTGCTAACCCGGAGGCCGGAGCTGTTGCAGTGCAGAAGCTCGAGAACGGCCACTGCACTCTAGCCTGGCCGACAGAGGAGACATCCGTCTCAAAAAAAAAAAAAAAAAAAAATTTAGGCCAGGTACTGGTAGCTCCATGCTGTATCCAGCACTTTGGAAGGCCAGGTGGTGGTATTGCCAGCCGAGTTCGAGACCCAGCTGGGCAACGTAGGGAAGACACTGTCCCTACAAAAAATTTTAAAAAATTACTGGGCATAGTGGCACGTGCCTATAACAGCGCACTCCAGGGACTCAGGGGGAGGATCATTTGCGTGGAGGTTGTGGCTCACACCCATAATCCCAACCCTTTGGGAGCCAAGATGGTAGGATCACTTAGCCCAGGAGTTCAAGACCAGCCCGGGCAACCATAGGAGACCTCGTCTCTACAAAATAAAAAATAAACCTGCTGGTATGGAAATGCTGTGATCCAAGCTACTTGGAGGCCAAGTTGGAGATGCTTGGACTCTGGGAGTAGAGGCTGCAGTAAGCATAATTGCCACACACTCCAACTTCGGGTGACAGAATGCGACCTCATCTCAAAGCAACACAACAACAAAAAAACTTTACCGGTAAAAAAACTGACCCGAAGAACAAAGTGAGCACATGCTGTTGGAATGTTGGAAAAATGGCACTGACAAGACTGCTTAGGCAGAGTTGCCACAAACCTTGAATTTGTAAAAAAAAAAAATGTGGGTATCTGCAAAATGCCAGTAAAGTGACAGTGCAATAAAATGTGTTGTGTCTGTACTGGTTTGCTAATGAGTAGAGATACCTTTTGGGTGAAATCATATGTCAGTGAAAATCTGCCTGACCTGGCCATCTTTCACGGGGTTTCTGTTGCTTAACCATGTTATTTGAGATTCATCTGCCGTGGTTGCATGTATCAATAGTTTATTTCATTTTATTGCTGCATTATATTCTATTCTAAGGGCATACCATGGTTTGTTTATCCATTCACTCCTTGATGGCCATTTGGGTTGTTTCTGTTTTTGGCTACTGTGAGTAAAAC